TTTTCTTTTATCAAGACATCCGTTATCATAGCTTTCTAGTCTTAGTAAAAAAAGGAGGAATCTACCAGTTAGGCTTCATGGATACTTGCACTCACCTACACGTTTCTTGTTTATGACAATGAAAGAATTGGCTCTGCATTTAACTTTGAATCATCTTTTGGGATTCTGATCTTTTAATTCCTTTTGGTGGCTGGTTTCAATTTTCATTCAAACCTATTGTGCTTTTGATGATTATACATCACTTTTATGTATTATTTTTTTTAATAATACATGCCATAATCCTATAAACCTAGTAACCCACATAGTCTGTGAACTTACTAGTTATTACCCTTTTTTTGGCACTTCATAGTTAGGCAGTTCTCCAATTTCACCTATGGCAATGCTCGTACTGTTATAAATATATGGATATATAATTCGGTAAGCTGCTAATTAGGTGATTGGTAAGGTCTCTTGTTGGTCATAGCGGAGACTTGGGATTAAATCCCGCCTGAGTTTAGGGGGTTATGGGTTGGGGGATGGGCTATATATAAATATATATTATTAGAGGCATGCATATATAATAATTATAATAATTGATTATTGATAATTTTTGAAATAAAGACATTATAGATTGAAGTGTAATGGGTTTTTGAGTAATGTGCATTGGATGGTGACAATTTAACCCATAGAAAGATGATTGTGCAGTCAAAACTTGGAATGTGATAAAGCAAAAGATGGAGAGGTGGCCAACCCAAGAGCCCTTTTCTATTTTCTTCCCTTTTATTTAATACAAAGTGGTCTACATTAGATGGATTCCATTATGGATGATGACCATCCTTTAGCCTATTTACATTGCCAATGAAGATAACCTTGGTCTTTGTTCAAAAAGAAATCAAAAGAGAATTTCTCAAATGGATAAACACTTGAATTGCCAAAAGTAACTTGTAACGGCAAAAATGAAGGTGAGAACAAAGCACACTCACTTTTGAGGGCTTTGGAAGCTATAAGTGGACTACCACAATTGGCAAAGGAATTACAAGAAGAAATTTTCATATCTAGCTAAGGTGATCCAAAGGTTAGTAATCAAGGTTCTGAATAGAAGGCAATACCGCAATAAGATCAACTGGTCATCAAAAATATCAGACACACAGTTAGCATTTGAAGAATTAAAATTTTTTCATGTGTCGAGAGTAGGTAATCGACCAAATGACCACTTAGGGGCCATTTGATAACTGAACAGAATGACTTATTGAATAAATTTTTAATTACAAGGTCATTAGCTCCTCAATGGCTCAAGGCTGAAGTTGAAGTTGGACTAATTGACATGTTCTCATATTTTATTATTTAATTATTTTATTCACTAAAAGACAAAATAATAAGCCATTCAGTTCAGCAGCTTCAGTTTTTATCAATGCTTTTCAAATATGGGTCACAATCCTTTATAAATAAATATAAACTCTTTTGTATAACATGCCGTCTTAGCTCAGCCGGTAGAGCGCATGGCTTTTAACCATGTGGTCGTGGGTTCGATTCCCACAGACGGCGACTAACTAATTTTTTCCTTTCACTACTAACTCAGCCGAGTCTTTGGACCTTTTCGACTCGTCCCGTCTTCAGTGCTATCCCTGCAACCCTGCGTCACAGTTTTCCATTGTGACTTTGTGATCAGCCACTGACTCACTGTCTCATTCACAGTGACGCAATTCCTCTCTCTATCGATCTCTGCATAAACATCTCTCAAAGAGTCGAGTCTGAACAATGATGAAATTGCACTCATCTCCGCTAGTGTCGGCCACGTTCGCTTCTTTAGATCTTTGTTGTTAGAATGTTGTTCACAACAATGAAATTGCACTCACTACTGTTACTGGAGGCAAATTTTGCAGTGTTGTTCATAAAATTCCATCCCAACTATCTTATGAGGTCAGCAGCGGGAATCGTACTTCTCCTTTGGAATCGATTGACTCGAGTGAGCTACACGTGTACACCATTATTCCTTGGGGCCCACATCTCACTCAAGCATTTCAAAGAAAACCCTAAATGAATTGTAGTTTTCATTGAGACAAATTGGGGAGACAGGAGCTAGAAATCCTCTCTCTCTCTCTCTATATATATTGTCAATTGAAAGAATGTTGGGATGTTTGACGTGGGCCATGTGGTTCAGAGCCACCATCGCATCTCATCTATGTGGGTCCCTCGTATCATGATCGAAGTGCTTACTCATCAACAATGATGAGTTACCAGAGATGCCCACGTGGGCCATGCAAACGACATCTATCTTGATAAGGGGGTGTTAATGAATCGGGTTAAGCGGTAGACCCAGGTTTATCCGACCCTCTAGGGTTTGGTTAAGGGTTTATTCGGGTCGGGCCAGGGTTTTGTTGCTTTCAACCAGAGTCGGACCCAGTTTGAAAAGTCAAAATTACATGTGATTAGGTCTGGTCGGACCGGATTCGACTTGAAGCATTGGAGGGTCGATCGGGTTGGATGAAGGCAAAAGACCCATGTTAAATTCTTCTTAAGTTGAATGCATGTCCATTTCACAAAAGGTTCAATTTGAATTTCAATGGTCCCAGTCAAGCTATATTATTTGAACCACTCTTTGCCCATAAAGTTGTAGAGATGCACTTATTCAGGCAGCCAATCTCTCATTAGGCCCAATCAAACCACAAGCTAACATTGTGGAGGCTTTGATATTTTGACTCAATAATTGAGCCCATTACCATGAGCCCATGACCCACAATGGGCTGATTTGAAAGGGACCATCCTAACCCTCATGCCCATTTGTTCAACCAGGGATTGTTACTAGGGTCGGGTTGGGTCGATATCCCGTAAACGTCTTGGAACCATTTGTCAGACTTGACAACACCATTGCCACTACAAGTAAAAGAATTAACATGGTATTTGATTCTAATATTTTCAATTTATATAAAAATCAATTATTAAGAGAAATATCATTTTTAATGTTTTTTTAATATATAATTATTTATTTACTATTCAATTTATATAGTAGTAAATAAATATAAAACATTTATTAAATAAATGATTAGAATATCATTCACAAGTATAAATTGGGGTATGGCAAATTTTCAACAATGCAAGAGTAGAGTAGAGCTTTGAGGGCATTTCACAAATCATAATCGAATACCTCAATTCCTGTAAACCCAACATTGAAACAAACCCTAATCTAGGGTAATATTCCATTGAAATTAAACCCTCCCGAGCTTTTTATAGGAGGACATTACAAAGTGGATGAGGAACCCAGAAAAAAAAAATAAAAAAAAAAGGAATCTTTTCTGGCTTTTAGCACATAGTACTGCTTTTTATAGGGAAAAAGAAAGAAAGAAAAAGGAAATGATAACAGTAGAGAAGGAAATTTGGAAACTCAGTAGTGGTTGTAGCTGCTGTACTACATTAAATAGTCTCACGGCATTTCATTCAATTGAGGATTTTAAAGAGGAAGTGAAAGGTGACAGAGCAAAAGCTTCTCTCTCGTCGCCGCGTATCTTTCCACTCTGAGATCAAAATAGAAAATGTTCTAGCTACACTCCCACCTATTCTCGTGTCATCCACCTACAACTTCTCCCTAAAACAAAAGACAGAAAATCAGAAGCAAATCTGTGGAGAACGCCCACTGATTTTATTCCTCTCATCTCCTTTCTCTCTGCTCCTTCAACTTTTTCTTATCTCTACTGTCCAACAAAACTACAGAAGGATAGAAAGAGAGTAGCACTCTCAACTTTCTATCTAATCCAAATATCCAATCTCAAAGATAAAATCCATCCTGCTGACTTTTTTTCTTTTTTGTTTTTGATAATAACCCAGTTTGGTTAGTTCTCCTTYGCTTATCAAAAACAGACGGAACTCGGAAGGAACAAGTGCATTACTTAAATGATATATTTTATCTTAACATATTGACTGATTTTTTGGCAACCCAGATAAAAAACATGGGAGAGAAGTGTGGATTAAAACCCATTAAAGAAATATTTTAGCTTAAATTAGTGATTGATTATTTGCTTTATTTTGCATATTTTAGAGAGACCCAGATGAGAAAAAACAATCAGACTACCAGAGAGAGAGGGAATGAAGTCTAGATCAAAAACCCATTAAAAGAAATATTTTATCTTAAATTGCTGATTGATTATTTGTTTAGATGAGAAAAAAAAAAAATCAGACTACCAGAAGAGAGGGAAAGAAGTGTAGATCATAAACCCATTAAAGAAATATTTTATCTTAAATTATTGTTTGATTATTTGCTTTATTTGCATATTTTAGAGAGACCCAGATGAGAAAAAGATTGAATTAAAGGATAGGTTTGTAATTAAGAGAACGTTTGAAAATTGAAAATTTGAAAATGCAATTTTCAATAGTCAAGAAAGATGCGGCATATTCCAGCTGGTTCGGTCCAAAGTTCAAACTGCTTCAGACTCGTAACAGTATGTGGCAGTTGCAACAGAGAGATAGAGTGCCGAGGAGTAAGAAAAAAGAAATAAATATAATTAATAAATTAAATAAGATCTCATTAATATATACGCGCCTTCGCGTCGCCGCATCCAAGAGACAACCCAATTGAGTTTACCGACAGCTGTCCTTCAAACTCTTCGTACTCTATTAATATCACGACATGTATTTCCTTTCTTTCCTCTAGTAACTTGTACTCCAAGAATTTCAATTTGTAACGGTTATTGACTTATTTATAGACCCATTCCCTGAAACCCATTGGATCGGAATCTATAGTTCAAACCATTGATAGAACTGACTATTCCTTCTGACCATATAGTCTCATACCCAAATGAACGATTCCAATCAACTAGTTTCCGTATATGGATAGATGGGGCCCTATTGCATCAAGCCCTTCTCTTCTCCTGTCCTTCGTCATCACTCTTCTCTGTTTCAATGTAGTGCAGAAACAGAAAGAGACAAGTTTCTCTGTACTGTACTCTGTTGCTTGATCATTTAATGGAGATAGAATTGCACCACAGATTGATCAGTATTCAGTAGCATATTCCTGGGGATATTTTCCATGGTTTTAATCGTTTTTTGTCTTTGAGAAAATCTGCTTAATTACCAGCAAAAAAGAAGAAGATGATTCAAGGAACAACCCATCCTTCATTTCTTCTCAAAATTTACATTCCCGAAAGAGTTCAATAAAAGAAAAAAAAAAAAACGAAAATTTACAGCTCTAACAGCTTCTCTTCCTCCTCCTCCTCCAAAGGAGAGTTCGTAGACTCATAGTCTCATACCCATTTATCAGTCGGCTCATATTCAGAAATCAAAACCTGAAATATGAGCTCTCTGATCCACACCAATTGCCGTTCTGTTGAAAAGAAAGAAAATTCGAAGAAAGCTTAATGGCTCTGCTCTTGGGTCTCTCTGTTTTCTGTCTCTTGCTGCTGGCTCCCCTCTTGGGTACTTGTCTTGGGTTTCTCTTCATACTCTGATTTCCCACTCTCTTGGCCGTCCTTATTGCTATTGTCGTTCTGGGTAATCTTACTATTGTCTCCGAGCCAAGTAAGTTTGCTCGAAATGGGTGTAGCCAAGTAAGTTGGTTTCTCATCACCAGCCATGATCACCAAGATCTTCTCTTCAAACACAGACGGGATTTTCATGGCGTCACTCGATTTCTCGTCTCTGCTCTCGGGGTCTCTCTCACCGCCTTCTCCACCCTCCAAATACCCAGAAAGCTTCCAATAAGAACAGGCCAGGATCAACAGAGCAAACGCAATAAGACCCAACATGGCAGCCAGTCCCCCGAAGAGGTACGGCACCGGAGAATGCCACGGCGAGTGCTGTCCCGTTGCCACTGCCGCCGACGCCGGTGCCGTCGTTGTGGATGTGGCCGTGCTTACTGAGTTTGTTGTGCTGAGGGTACCACCTGTCCTCATTTTCTGCAATCTAATTAACCGGAAAGAAATTTCGGAGGTGTCGAGAGGAAAGACTGTAAGAAGGGTAGAAGGAAGGCTGATCTGAGCCGCTTAGGGGGATCTCAGTGGAGTCGATGGAGAGGTGAGAGCCTGAAAGGTAGCTTCAGGGGTATTTATAGAAGAAAAAGCGGGGGGCGATTAGAAAATGTCGTCACTGGGAGAAAAGATGTTTCTTGTGAGAGTGGCTTAACGTAAAGAAAAATACGCCACTAGTAATTAGTAAATTACCCATTTTCTTTTCTTTTTCTTTATTTAACAGTTTTTTCTTCAAAAGAAAATTTTGTTTTTTTTTTTTTTGCTTAATTTAATACGAAACTTATCCGTAGTTGAGACCCCTTTTGATGTACAAATAAGTACTGTAAAAACGCACTAGTATCATGAGCCAATCAAATATGTGAGAGAGGGAGAGAGGAGAGAGAGAGAGAGAGAGAGAGAGAGAGAGAGAGAGAGAGAGAGAGAGAGAGAGGAGAGAGAAGGTTTGTGTATTAAGGGGGAGAGCAATGATTCGGGAAAGGAATTAAGAGAATGAGAAAGCGACTGTGGGGTAGAAGGATTTCGTCATTAATAATTGTGACTCATTTGATTCATCAAATGGAGATTTAGGGTTTGTCCACTGCTTTAGGGTTTGTTTAGAATGGGTCAAATAAGTCGATAAACCTGGTTGAACCACTGAAATGGGGTTAGGGTTGTCTGGTTCAACGAGATTGGCTTGGACTGGTTCATCTCGCTTAAAAGTTAAAATCCAATCCGGATGTTGAACTGTTAACCCTAGTTTGAGCTGTCATAACATAGGTGTCCATTAGAGGACTAACTACTTGTAATCCATGTTGTGCAATGTGCATCTCTGAAAATCCCTGATTATCCAAATTACTCAACATTAAATGGAACCCCACCAATCAGACGGCTAAGAATCATCTAATCATGGGGAAAAAAAGAAGAGATAAGTGGGGATTATTGCAAATATGGAGGACTAAAATGGAAATTTATGAGAAATAAACGGTTTTCAGTTTTCAATGAAAAGTTAAGGGGAGTTTCGTTTTGGTTGGCAGAGCAACCGAAGCTGGAGGTGTCAGGCAGCTCAGAGGTGAAGTCCGTTTTCATCTCTCTCTCTCTCTCCAGCATGCAATCTGGCTGTCACGTTCTCATGGCGCGGCTGCTCGGCGCCTGGGCTTGTTATACGGCAGAGGCATAAATCTGGCCACTTTAAGAGCTCATTGGCTGGTGCCACGTCAGCTACTTTTCTTTAATATGTGTATAGTGTATACATGAACCAGGCATTTGAGCTGTGCCACGTGGGGTCCAGGTATAAGATGGAGACCAAACAAAAAGAAAAGGATTTCCTGCATTATGTCTATAGGTTCCTTCCCCACACCAACTCTTTTGTTTTCCACTACAAAAGCTTTTGAGAAATTTCCTTGGGAGGAATCAGGGTTTGACACCCTTCTTGTCAATTACACATCAGAGAGAAAGAGACCCTTCTCAAGGGTGTTATAGTCAATGTGCTGAGGTGCATTCAGTCATCATAAGTTTATATATTTACCAAGATGCCCTTTGAGGGTGAATAATTGTATATTTGTATCCTGATCTTGTGGGGGAATACCTACCTTAAAGAGAGTTTTTCTGTTATTGCATTATTCATTTACTTTTAAGAGGAAGATGACAAGATGTGGGGTCCAGTTTTGTACACATTTTTTATGTATTCATGGTACATGAAGTGGTACCCTAAATGGGTCTATGCATGTTTCACCTTGTTTTAATTTTTAGTGGAGGTAGCAAGATGAAATAAAATAAAGAATGGGATAGATTTATTTTGGATGATTTTATGGGATGTGGGAGTTTTTTATTTTAATTTATTTAAAATAGCCAATGGAATTTTATTTTAAAATTTTAGCTCAATTTCAACCTATCTAATTAATTATTTTGAAATATTTGCAAAGAAAGAGAACAGAAAATTTTCTCTAAAATTATCTTATATTTTTAATATCTCTATATTATTTTGAAGAACATGTTATATAATTTGTTTCCATTTTTTCTCATCCATTTCTAAATGTGCTAGAACCCTATTAGGGTTGGTTCTGAGAGACCCTAATTTTAATAAATTAAGCAAATCCTGAATGAAAAGGCAAGAACCACTCTACTTGTACCGAAAATATAGAAGGGTACTTCGGGTTTTAAAAAAGATATCCCTTTTCTAAATTAGGAGTGTCAATGGATGTCCCTGAATTACCAATCATATCTTATAATATCTTATAAGAGTTCACATCTCCGCCCCACAACACATCCCGCCGTGTATTAGAAACATCTTCTGATTCTGATGATAATATCAAAACTGATGATATATCATCGAGGAGATGTTCTCAATACATGATAGGAATGTGCTGCGGGGCATTGTGGAGAAGCCCCTATTGTGGGGTGGAGATGTGATCTCATATTATATGGAATATAAGAAAAAAACACTGAAAAAAGAACATTCCTGAATTATTTCCATCATGTTGCAATGAACTTGGATAATTAAGATCAATTTAGCAAATGTTTTTGCTCAAAATGAAATAGAAACATCAGACCATTAAAATAAGAGGAAACCTGTAAAAATTTGGTATTGGAAAATTTTGTATTATTTTGTTTATATTTATACTGTATATATTATATTTGTATTTATATTCTTTCTAAACTAAGCCTTGGGTTTTAAGAGTTTGCATCTCCTACATGGGTCTTGTACTTAGGCTAACAGTAACCAGTGGAATTCATTCTTTGATTGATTGGATTCTCAAAAGTGAGAGTGGACAGTTATTCCCAAATATCCAAGGTTCTAAGGGCGTATCCGTCTGTATCGGTACTATTTTTGTGTTTTATTATTATTATTTTTTTCAATCAGTTCAGAGGGGTCAGTTTAATCCCGATTACCTTTTAAATCATGGCCCAACCTGATATTCTCTTATAGGGGCATACCGAAAAGACTCTAATACAATACATATTGACTGATACAAATCGATACATAACAATATTTTGAACCTTACAAAATCTCACGTTTGAGAATCTAATTAATCAATCAAAACCACCCCATGAATTTTGTTGAATTCTCAATCGTTTTGTATGCTTTAATACAAGGCATTAAGTGTAGGAGATTTGGACTGAGTTTTTAATTAGACCAAATCAGTTTTACCAAAAATAAAAGCAATAATTAAACGAGAGTCCTAAATTTAAGTATTAGTACTAAGTTGTACATAAACCGATGAGAATTCATGCAGGGTGGTTTTCATTATATTGCCTAGGCTTGAAAATGTCTGATGTTACAATATTATAACCACTTACTCTCACTTTTCTGAAACTGACCAATCAATATTGTGGGCTCTTGGGAAGGATAGATATACATAGCCTTACCCCTGCATACATAGAGACTGTTTCCAAGATTTGAATCTTAGTTATCTAGCAATTGAGCAATCTAATTGTTGCACCAAGGCCCACCCTCATTTGTTAGATTCCATATCTGCTACAAATATATACATGTATAACATGCTATATAATCACGAGTGAATACACCAGTGTTTCGTATACATGAAATCGATATATACAGCATATTCCGATCAGTCAAGATCTCCTAAACTTGCAACATTTTGTGCTAAATTGTATACTAACCAATGAAAATTTATCAAAATTCATGGTGTAAATTTGATTGGTCAGGCTCTCAAAAGTGAGAGTGGATGGTTACGATACCTCAGAAGATTCACTTTTTTTAGCCTAATCAATCAAAACTATCCCACATTGAATTTTGATGAAATCCAGATGATTAAGTAGGGGTGAGCATTATTTGGTTAAAACCAAAAAACCACAACAAAAATTTTGGTTTTGGTTTTCAGATTTAAATCTTCAGATATCTAAATAAACCAAAGTAACTGGGTTTCATTATAATATTAATATTATATACTGTATATATAATATAAATGAATATATTAATATATTGAAACTTGGCTTAAACCGAAAATTTTGGTTCAGTTATTTTGGTTTAAGCTAAATTCCATTTCGATTCTGTTTTGTCAATTAGAAGTTCAGTTTTAAAATTTCAATTTATTCGATTCAGTTTTTAACCAAATAAATTAAATGCTCATATTAAGACAGTTCTACTAACTAGGAGGCTTACAAAGGTGGAATTCTTCTCCTTAGAATGGGCTCCCTCAATCATAGTGTTTAAACTTTAAAAAGCTAAAATAAATGGCAAAAAATAAAAAAAAAATAGAGAATAAAGAAAAAAATGTTTTTATTTTGCTGATGTGGCAGTTCTTTTTGTTTTCAAAAACAAAACCAGCCACGTTGTCGAGCACCCCCCAAGGAGGCATTATACAGCATGAATGTGTTTTTTTTTATTTGTTTTTGAATTTGCCACATCAGCCAAAAAAAATAAAAACATGTACTTGATTGTTGAATTATGATTTTCTTTTGAAAAGAAAAAACAAATTGGTTTTGTTTCAAAAAAACAATACATGTTTTTAAAATCATCAAAATGGTGTTTTTTTAAAACAAAAATGGTAATGCGCAATCTATTCGCTCCCTCGTGTCCTATGACTCGACTCGAACTAGGCTATGATCTGGCAGTGTCGAACTAATGTAAAGAGAGAAGAATTAAAGTGCTTGGGTAGGTTTTACCTAGGAGAACACTCCGATGCTTAAGTCAGCAAGGAGGCTTATAGTGAGAATGTAAGAGAGAGCTTGAGTGCTTTAGTGTGCATGCCTTTTCTTGGGAGGTCTAGGGTCCTTTTATAGTCATCTAAGGTTCAAGTGCCGTTATGCAACATCTCTGAGTCCCTTGCAGAGTTGTTTCTGTAGTTTAAGGCATACTGGCACATCAATTGCTAGATTTGCGTGGCGATTACAGGTTGCCGCAAGTCTGATGGCGCATGGTTCAGCGAGCTGTTCTTGTTGTCGCGGTAATGGTGCCTGTGGGGGCATGCTGTGCGGAACGGTTTTTTAGACGAGCTCACGTTGGCGGCAGCCTGAGCTCGCCTCAGCTTAACCGTCAACCTGATGTCGAATGCCACGTTTTATCTTGTTGAACTGTCTGCTAAGTTGGACGTTGCTTTGCCAACAGCATCCACATGTCAG